CGGCTGATAATTTGGTGCTTGAAAATCTGCATTGGAAAAGAACTGGTAGACCAATACTTTTGGTGCCCTGCTTAGAGTGGTGATTTTTCAGAGGGCAGTTGCGAAGTCTAAAAGGAACTCTCTATAAACATACATAAACCAACCTGTTCCGTTTCAAAGCATGACACGCGATACAAAGAACACATTGCTTCGCGCAAACTTCTTTGCACTCAATGTTGGGAATCCAGCGGTTGTTGCATATTTGCTGCGATACTCGGATCTTCTGCAGGTCCCAGAGTTGAGCACCATCGGGATGAAGCAGACTGAGTCGAAGTAGACTAAGTAGACCGTGCCTAGACACGCTTTTCGGATCTTTTCGCTGTCTTATCAAAGAAAAAAAAGGAGTGGAACCACCCTGTGCGTGTTCCACTCCACTCCACGCGTGTGTTCCACTCCACGACTCCCCAACTCCACAAGACAGGCGCCGACCTTCGTGTGTTCCGCGCCTGCCGACCCCTGGCATTCGTTGTTCGAATGACGATCCCATCAAGCGTCATGCCGCAAGGGATCCAAAAGGAACTCCATCAATAGTCAAGACATGTCAAACCTTTCCCTGTTCCAACAGAGGTTGAAGAACCCTATAGACTATCCCATACGTACCTCAGTAGGGTGCTATAAGGTCACTTAACCTCTCTTGGTTGAACCAGCTTTCATCAACATACTCAACACAACATGTGAGGAATCCGTTGAATACTGGAAAACCTCTAGAATTTGTTGAGTCATCAGAAACATGTGACACACTTGCATGCACTAAGACTGAACACTGCAAACATGTAACAGAACACTCCTTCAAAAGGCCCATGTTTTTCCCACCTCTCAATCGTTCATCACGCAGGTCATGCCGAAAAAAAGAGCACCAAAGAACAGCTCGACAGCCCAACGTCCCGAGCATCCGAGCACCCTCGGAGCACGAGCAGAGATGTCCAAGGTCACCACCCCCACAACCAGCCTCGAATCAGTCATTGGTCATGATTGGTCAATAGATGTAGACCCTTGATCAATAGACCGGCCCATTGGAATGGAACAAACCCCTCTTCATCTGAGGGTTGTTTTTTATTCATCTAAGAGCTTTGTCATACCCTTGTTTAATCCCAAAGGATTATCATACTCTTCTTGAATCCCATCAAGAGCTTTGTTGCTATTTATCGTTTCCTTGTCATGAATCCCATGAATCCCATTTTGGCGTCAGGCTAAGCCGCCACCGATCGGTCATCCACGTCCGGCCACAGAGAGCGTGCCGGAGGAGGTGGTACCGTGCCCTTCAGGAGAGGGGACATCCAGCGTTCCTGACGCGAATCAAGCGGAAGAGCTCCAGCAGCGTGCGGCTCTGGCGTGTGTTCGGGTGGTCAGGCCCATGAAGCTCCTGGAGGGAACGTTGAGGAAAAAACCCGTGATCCCTTGTTCCGTTATCTGAGAGAACGTCTCTCTGGTTGGCTCAAGGCACCTTGCATGGAAAAAGGCACCTTGCATGAAACCAAAACCCTCTTTGCAGCTGCTTGAGGAACTGACCTCTCAAACGACTTCGCAACCATGTCTCGGATGGACATTAAGGTATGGGATGCTGGGATGCCAACGTCCATCTTCATTTACACTCCATTGCCAGTTGAGCAAAAACATACGGCAACTCGACGGCCTGGGATGATGATCGAGGATGTATGTATATATATATATATATCCACCGACCCTGGCCTAGCCGATGCCTAGGCGGAGCGGCACCCGGGACAGCGCAGCGAGAAGCCTTGGCCAATGACCTGTGCTACGACTCCTGAGCCTCTCTTTTCCAATGACCTGTGCTACGACTCCTGGGCCTATCTTTTGACGGCGCAGCAAGATGACCTGGGTCTTGCAGGTTCCACAGCGCAGCCGTGCCCAATGACCTGCGCTACGATTCCGGGGCCTATCTTGTCACGGGCCTTGCAGGTTCCGGATACCTGTCCCCCTATAGCCATCACCTGCTATGCGGCCCCGCGCCTCTTTTTCTATAGGATTCCAAAAGCAACGTTAAACAACCTGGCTGTTGCCGTCTGGCGCCCTTTCCGACCGCTGTTGCGCGCAGAAGTAGATGGTGTCGTTTGCCCGCCCT